TCTTTGCAGATGAATTTCTGGCGCCAACATACCATTAACATGAACTCTCATCTTGGGGTTTTGGTGCAGAATTGCAATCCATCTACGGAAATGTGGACCGAAATTCATTTTTTCCAAGCATTTATCCAAAATAAAACAATCCACGTGATCATATGCTTTCTCAAAATCAATAAAAATAACGGCTGCGTTGCATTTATCATGCCTTGTTAATCTGAGAAGCTCATTTATCAGGAGAAAATTATCATGGATTCTTCGTCCTTTGATGAACCCCGTTTGAGAGGGGTGTATCAGGGTTTCCAGGACAGGGATCAAGCGGTTCGCAAGGGTTTTCGCCATCATCTTGTACACGATCGTAAGCAGGGTTATCGAACGATAATTCCTGATATCCATTTTGTCCTCATTTTTATGCAACAAGGTGAGACGCCCTGTCCAACTAACTCCCCCATGCATCCAGATTCCCACACCTGCTCGTAGTACTTCATGAGGTCCGGGGCCATCATGTCCCAAAAGGATTCCCGAAACTCTTTTGGGAACCATCTAGGCCTGCCGCTTTCTCCTCCTCCATTTGCAGCAAGGCGGTCCAGATTTCGTCCGTGGATAACGAGTGTTCAAGATGTGTTTTCTGTTGTTTGGATAATTCTTTTTCCAGTGGACGGAGGAAGGTCGTAACCTCTTTGTCCCTTAACTGCTTGTCCCACTGTGAACATATGGATGTGAAGAGGTCCTTGAAGAAGGAACGTGCAATCTGCGTGCACTGGGGATCGGAGGATGCTATCTCCGCACACCCTTGCTTAGGATCGTACAGGGCCTCGATGCATGCCTCCGTGTACGCATTCGGGCCAGGCTAAAGAATTTAGTGTCCATTGTACCTTTTTGGTAGCGCGGTAGTCTTGCTCTGATTCGCGTTCCTTCCCATCGTTGAGTGGCAAAGATCTGCAACTGCTGTTGCAGGACTTGTATATCTGTTTGCTGATTCACCACTGTACTTACCGTATCTGGAGCGTCATGTTGCTCAAGTTCAAGCTGTTGGATTTGTTCAAGTATCTTTACCTCACGTTCGCGTTTGGGGGCCGCTACTTGTGACGAATATTCTTTGCATTTCTTGTTAAGAAAAAATAGACCATTATTAAACCAATTGATTCCCTGTGGTACATTTTGTTTTTGGGTGTGCCAGAAAGTCCAGCAGTCCTTGATATACTCTAGGAATGACCTTTGTTGAAGAAGGGACACATTTAGTTTGTAAAACCTTGTGCCCTGATCGGGTTTTTTACGAAACGTCAGGGTAGTTGTACACATCTTGTGATGCAACCCACGATACGGGCTTCGTGGTAAAATGGTTGCTAAAAGTTGCGAGCCCTGCAAGTCTTCTGAGATAAGAATTAGGTCAATCCTAGATCTGGATTGGCCCTCTGTTCCTTCCTTCCAGGGGCAAGAGTAATACTTCGTATCTGGATGAACCTTCTGAAAAGTGTCGAAAAGTTTTAGTGATAGGCATAGGTCCTGGATCATTCGTTCATCTTCCTCGATGTAGCGCTAACCCATTGAAGGCATTACCTCCTTGGGCGGTTTTTCTACGTCAGGACTGATCATCAGACCCTGAAGTGGATGAGAACCCAGCATGTGCTCTCTGATGCGCTGAAACGATGGATCGAAGTCATTGAGTAGTATGACTTCGAGCCCCAATATCTCAAAGGTGAATACAACAAAGTTGCTGATGCGCTATCGCGTAGGCCAGATTTCTTCGGTGCGCTGATCACTGAGTTTGGGCTTGCGGACGATGTCACTCGCTATTTGGTGGAAGTCTATCGCGAGGACCCGTTTATGGCTGAGATCATACACAGACTCGAAATGAAGGACAAAACAACTTCTGCTGAGTTTGAGTTGGTCAACGGCCTACTGTTCCTTGAGAAGGCTGGGAATAAACGTTTGTGTGTGCCTAACCGTGAGTCTTTGCGTAGTTTATTTTTAGGCGAGCGTCATGATGCCACAGGACATTTTGGGTATAAGAAAACTGCAGCCAATTTGATGCAGCAGTTCTGGTGGCCCACGATGATGAGAGATGCCAAGCTGTACGTGGAGACTTGTCAAGTATGTCAGAGGGACAAGCCACGTACACAGCCCCCTCTTGGGCTTCTTAAGCCCCTTCCGATTCCGAACAGGCCCGGTGAGAGCCTGTCCATGGATTTCATGGACACACTGGTCACCAGCAAGAGTGGAATGAGACACATCTGTGTCATTGTGGATAGGTTTAGTAAATATGCTAGATTAGTGGCAATGCCTAAAACAACGAAAATGGAGTATGTGATTAGACTCTTCAAGGAGAACTGGGTCAGGGACTTTGGGCTTCCTAAGTCTATTGTTACTGACAGGGATGTCAGATTCACAAGTGAGTTGTGGAAGGCTGCAGCTGCAGAACAGGGTACACAGCTGCAGATAACCTCTGGGAACACACTGGTCACCAGCAAGAGTGGAATGAGACACATCTGTGTCATTGTGGATAGGTTTAGTAAATATGCTAGATTAGTGGCAATGCCGAAAACAGCGAAAATGGAGTATGTGATTAGACTCTTCAAGGAGAACTGGGTCAGGGACTTTGGGCTTCCTAAGTCTATTGTTAGTGACAAGGATGTCAGATTCACAAGTGAGTTGTGGAAGGCTGCAGCTGCAGAACAGGGTACACAACTGCAGATGACCTCCGGGAACCACCCAGAGGCAAATGGCCAACCAGAGCAACTGAACCGCGCTGTACAACACCTGTTGCGGCAGTACATCAAGCCCAATCAGGTGGACTGGGATGAGAAACTTTCTCTCATCGCCAGCCTGTACAACAACGTTGTGCACAACGCCACTGGGGTGAGCCCTAACAGTCTGCTACTCACTTTCAAGCCTAGACTACCCCTGAACTTCCTATTACCTGGGAACCAGCCGACTGCTGCACCTGGTACACAAGAGTTTGCCTATCGATATGAACAATTGATGCAGCAGGCGGTAGAACAGATGCACAGGGCACATGCAGCAATGATAGATTCTGAGAATAAGCACCGCCGCCCATCTACATTCCAGGTAGGGGACAGAGTCTGGGTTAAGTCCTCAGAACTGGGTCAGGAGCATGGGATCTCCCACAAGCTCATGCCACAGTACTTTGGACCCTGGGAGTTCTAGATATCGTTGGGATGATCCGGATGGGGCTTCATATGTAGTTCAGATCCCTTGTCACCTTCGCACTTACCCAGTCTTCCACGCCTCCAATCTCGCACCTTTCAGGGAAACTGACCAGTTTCCTTCTCGTCACTCGATGCTCCCCCCAACCATGGATGGAGAGGTCGACATCGACGACATCGTGGATCAAAGAGAAATGTCGGTTCCAAGACCGACAGGAGGGGGACGTCCTCCGAAGCCGAAGCTGCAGTACCGAGTTCGGTTCAGACATCACACTGATCCAAAGGAGGATAGAAGGTTCACACAGGAGGAACTGATGCAGACTGCACCGCAGGTTGTCGCCCACTATGAGAAGTTGCTCCAGAAAGGAAAGCGCCAGATTGAATGAACTTCTCAGAGGACTAGCAAAGTATGGAGGAGGGAATGCGAGGCACAAGGCCTCAATAAGCCCCGCTGGGCCCTGTTATCAGCAAGGTCGGCCGCCCTAAGTGAAGGCAGGCCCGACCGAGGCCTATTTTGGAATACTACGCAACTGGAGACAATTCAGGCAGTTGCACAGCGCCAGTTGGTTGGAAGCGCCCAGGCCCAGGCTGCCTTTCATCGTATGTAACTGAGGCAGGCCCTGGGCCAGATACACAACATGGGCCGACAAAGGCTGAGGGCAGTTGGGCGCTAGTAACTCCCACAGGCCCTGGGCCTGTTTCCTTTAAAAACCGAGGCTCAGCCTCGCAGGGCCTACCGGAAGCTTCTGGGCCGGGGCCCAGTACCGCATTACCGCGCGCGGCAGCAGGCCACTTCGATATAGGGAAGGATCTGCCGACACATTGGATATTCGGGCACTGGCTGCATGCTGCGCTAACGCTGGCCAGCACTCACGCGCTCACAGGCGAGCTGGAAGGAGCAGGCAGCCATAGCCGAGCTGCGCTGCTGTATGCTGGATGGGGCGCATGGTTGTCCTTGGGTGCATGTGGCATCTGTGAGTTGGGGATCGAGGTTGTGAGTGATACGAGAGACATACCTGGTGCTTGAGGCGAACAGCATTGGCCGAGATCTGCTCGTACTTCGGGGAGCTGTTGACGTCATCAGCGGCATTGTAGATAGGCTAGATAGGATCTGCCATCTGTAGTCTGGGCGCCGATCGCCAGATAGGATATCGACATTGGTTCTTCATTGATGATGATGAGACTATTCCAGGATTGTCAATTATGAGCTTTTGCTGTGCTCTTATTTGGTGGAACTCGTGTTGCAATTCTGCTATTGGTTTGAGGTCACGACTATCTGGTCTCATGTGTATGATGCTGTTTGATTTCTGAAGTTTGCTATTGCTCATTTTCCTTGCAGATTGCTCCTTTTTTTTTTTTTTTTTTTNTTTTTTTTTTTTTTAGTTGGAGAATCAAGGGAGATGCTATGAGATTCTAATTTTCTACTTAAATGGGGGAGTCAGGCTGGAATTCCACTTGCTACACATAACAGTCACTGACAGAAAGAGCATTTTATACGGGTGCATGATCGTGCATCTAGTATATAAACTTATTATAAAGTTATAAACATTTAAATACCAGGATGCGATGGCAGAAAAGAAAGCAGACAACAACATCACCGCCACAAGAAAAGCGAAACACAAAGGCACTGGAGGCAAGAAGATAAGCAAAATGTGAAACAAGGTTCTGTTTTTTTTTTTTTTTTTTTTTTTTTTCCCCTCCTATTTCATCCTAGACTTTCATTTTTTTCTGAACTTCTTTCCCCTCCGCGGGATCGCGTCTGACACAATCTCACCACAACTTCCCATCCAACAAATTTCAACGGTCAAGATCTCTGATGCAACCAACGTCTGATCCCAGGTCCGGAGCTGCCGCATGCGAACTATTCGGAGGGCGCTGATGATGACTGGATGATGTCATCGTCTACAGCGATTTCATCGTCTACAGGAGCTTCAGAAGAAGAAGTGGATACCCTTTTGGCAGCATTAGCACCTCAAAACTGTATAGAACATGGCACACTACTTCACGGGACTGATTGCCGAAAACTGGAACCGCTGACAGAAGCGGATGATTCCTGGGCGCGCTACGAGAAAGCCTTGCAGTTAGAATGCCGGAACGAGCAGCCGGTGGGCCCAACAAAATGCTGGGACCAGGAGGAAGATTTTATCGATCATGAGACCGATGGGACTCTGCTAGGATTGCGAGCGGTTCCGGACAGCGCCTGGGAACATCATCACAAGTACGATCATGATGCGTTCCAGGCATTAGGTGCTTCATCAGAAGAAGGGCCGTCATATGGTGATCCCAAGTGGCCCCCGAATGAGTACCGCAGCAGTCCTAGCAGCGGAGGCGGCGGAATGAGCCCCCAACTTATCATGACTGCGAACGGGGACTTCAAGCCCCCCCCCTGGCTTTCGAAGATGCCCAACTACCAGAGGGGCGATCAGTGGCCAGGCATCAACCGGCTCGCAGCTGACGTCATGCTTTCGCCAGTGATCCACAACGATGACAATAGCAGGCCTGACAATTGCAAGAGGAGCCAGAGGAAGGAGGTCCTCGCATCTCGTGCTGCGGAATCTGAGGAAAGTGTAGGCGACTCTCAGTCTTCCAAACGATTCCTGGCCGCGGCAGCACGATTGCAGGAAATACAGGACTTGACCGCATCTGCTCCATTTCGCAAATATGCCTTTCAGACCCCCGACAGGAAGGGGAAGCCACAATCAGCCGTCATCAACAAGGCGGAGGGAGAGAAAGCAGGCCTAGACTCCAGCACACCACACTCAAAGATGAAAACGCTGCAAACGACAGAAAAAACGCTCGCAGGGGTAAACCAGACAAACAGCATAGCAACAGCAAAGAGAGGCCGAGTGAGGAGGAGGATAATGTTTCAGCCAAGTGTATTTGATAAGAAACCTGGGCATTCCTCAGAGAAGGCTGCTCCATTACCCCCTCCCGCGAAGACGAGGAGTCGGTGTGCTAACAATAGCAATCCAGGCCCTGCCAGTGCGCCGTTGAAGGCGAATCACCGGCAACAGTGTCGACATAGTTCTTCTTCTTCTGCTGCTGCTGCTGATGATGATGATATACGTTTGGCAGAAAATGTACCTATGGATCATCATGGTAATAATGCATTGGCTGCTCTCTCTAATGACGGCAACAGGGGATGGGATGGAAATCAGTCTCAGGATTGTCAAGCAGATGATGATGGCTCCGATCTGCCAGCGACTACTGCTGTCGGTAACACCGTCAATCGCAAAACCAGGAGCCGGCAAGGTAATCTACCTGATGCACCGTGTCGAAGAGAAGCTGGCCAAGATCCTATTGTCGCCTCTGCCGGATGGTCAGACAAGGCCGATGGTGCAGCAGAGAGTTGTGCTGTGGAGGTGGACAAGCGAACACTGAACCACGGTGTGTTGGGGATGGGAAGACAGGCAAACGCTGAATGCTCATCCGCTTCAGAAGATCAGTCATCCAGTACGTTCGGAGGGAAAGCAGGTCATCAGCTTCAGATCGCAAATCCTACAGAAGACAAGCCAGAGGCGGAAAACACGTCAGAGACGCCACGTTCTCAAGAAGGTGAAGGAGGTGGGTTTGAATCCCTCTTCCGCCAAGGTGAAGAAGGTGAAGAAGGAGAAGAAGGAGAAGGAGGAGAAGGAGGAGAAGAAGGAGGAGGAGGAGAAGAAGGAGAAGAAGGAGGAGGAGGAGGAGGAGGAGGAGGAGGAGGAGGAGGAGGTTACTTTGTCATGCTGCCAAACACCCAGGCAAGTCCTCAAGAGGGTGAAGAACAACTGCACTTTGTCACACTGCCAAACACGCAGGCAGAGCAAAACACAGTGATGACTGCTGCTAGGGATCAGAGCGCCGATCGTGAAAGCGAAGCCGGTCATGATCGCCTGCCTTATGCAGCTTGTCCGACAGTGCTGGATAGAGTTCTTGGCTGGAATGACCAGGCAGCAGAGGTCGAGGGCAGTAAGGATCATCATCATGGCATAAAGAACGAGCAAACGATCGATTGCCAGGCTTTGCCTAGTGCGGAAGGGCAGGTAAATGATCTCTCGTCTGCTTCGAATGATGGCGGCTTATCCGATGAAATTGTGATGGAAGCAGCAGATCTGTTCCCCATAAGGAAAGATGGTAGACAAGACAAGTCATCGGCATGGGAAGAATCGGAGCGGCACTTAACTCGTAGACAAGAGAAGGAAGCTCACTCTGTCATGCTACCAAATACCCAGATGGATTTGCATGTTGCCCAAGAGGAGTAGACCAGGCGAGACCTATCGAACAATCTAGATCAAGTTCTGATGTGTGAATTGTTATGGGTTTAGAGTCTTTAGACTCTAGAGTTTGTAAAACAAGCATCATAGTAAGACAAGTAAATCATGATGTGTGTGATCTCTGGTGGCAGGCTGTTGCTTTCGATATGTATGCCTGCTCTGATGTTGTCATGCAACTGAGCTACATATATAGTATATAGTATATACATTGAGCCGGATACATGGGAATTTCATTAAGATTTAGATAATAATAATTGAAATATTATTTGAAATAAAGCATGAGCAATCCTGAGTGTTTCAATTGTTTGAGATAGAATCTGGAAATGTTGCTCGTCTTTTTATAGCGATCATTACAACTGCCCACACTCGGGAAGGAATGAACTCCCCTGGTGCAGTACGCGGACAGCTGAGGGGTTTCGCACTACAAATGCCCAAAGAGTCATGCTGTCTATGTGGATGTATGGCATACACATGTAACCGTTGATAAACAGATCACGGGTTCGAATGCTAACGGAATCAGAATCTATCAGAGAGATACTGGAATGCTAGGGGGTAAACAAGGGGCTGCAAAGGGGTTTCAGACAGACTAAATAAAACCCGACGACCAAGTCATGCTGCTGGAAATCGGGTCCAGCATCCCTTAACATTTCAAGACAGGGAGCCAATTATCAGTAATGTTATGTTGGCCCGTTTTCACGAGGCCTCATGTCATGCATAAACAACACAGAGATCCTTTTCACTAGCTGAAGTTGTTGTGCCAGATCCCAACATATCCTGATCAGAGGGCGTAGCTCACAGTCTGTAGCTTGGCCGGACTCCAGGCCTGCACGACAATGAGCAGTCCCCTGTGAAATGGTTGCTGCAGTGTGTTGTGCATTATGTTCTGAGCCAGCACTTCACGGTCACCAATCTAACCAGACTCCAAACCGACCCGGCACTGCTCAGAGCCCCGTCATGAGGGCCCAGCTGACGCTGAAGGTGTCCATGATGCAACAGGGCACCTCTCTGCGAAGACACAAAGTCGTAAAGTCCCCTGATTGTGCTTGCAGCCGCGTCGCATATACTTGCTGGCTCTCGGTTGTAGTTGTGTTGTCGTCTTCATCATCCGTGGAAATGAGGGGGATGTTGGGGTCCAGAAGAGGCGATCAGGGCTGCAGGGAGGGCAGGGGACGGGGGAATGGGGTGGGCCGGGGAGGAGCAAAGACGGAGGGCGGGAAGGGTCAGAGCTGGAGGCAGGAGAGGTGCAGAGGGGGCCATCGGACTGTCCGGCACAAGCACAAAGTTCGGTGGGAGATAGGGGATCTCGAAGCAGCTGAACGGCCTCCTCCTCCAGGTGGATTCTGTGGACCTCCATGGTTTCCATCGAATGTCCAGACTGTCAGTCAGGTCCGAGAATTTGTTGTTCGGATCCTGCCACAGCTGCCGGTAAGCGAGAACCATAGTTTCCTTGGCTGCCTGTTCCTTCTCCTCTCGGCACGCCCGTTTTAGTTCTTTCCATGCCTCGTGTGTTGTGGCTCTGATCTCATCCTCCGTTGCTTGCTGCGCTTGTTGCAGACCAAACTGGTGGTTTTTTCTTTCAAAGGCGCACCTAGCTCGCCACGCGAGCATTAACATGTGGAGGCGCATGTAAGCGAAGAGGTTGGCGGCGTAGGGGGACCATCGAGCCAGCAACTGCTGGTTTTTGCCGAGCAGGAGAAGACCCAGATCCCAAGGAATGTAATAGCCTGTGAGGGAGTGGAATACCACGTCCCACCATTGCCATATTTGGGTGACCATTGGACACGCCAGCAGGCAATGTTCCAATGTTGCCCGGGCCGGCAGTGATGCTCTGCCACAGTACGAGCAAATGGGGGACAACAATCCTCTTTGTTCCAGATTGGTCCTGGACACCAGCCAGTCGGGGGTGGGGAGGCAGCGGTGCGGTATCTGCCATTGCAGGGATCTAACGTTTGTTGGCATGACCGTTGAATAGTTAGCCCACGACAGGTTGTCTGTCAGCTGTGCATCTAGCGGCAAGTCCCTTTCCCATCTACGGGTCACAATTTGGTTTAAAGGCAGGTCGGGGCATGAAGCTCGGTAGGCCCCTTTGACCGTGTATTCCCAGAAGGTCATGGATTTGTGGCCGGGCCATTCCCATTCATCCGGGTCGAACTGTAGCCTCGCAACTGGCGTGGATGGTTCATACACATAATATCCTTTGTCGGCATCCCCCACCACCCTCACTTGCATAAGCGCTCCCCACTCGTCTTCGGCGTCCGGATCTTCAATCCTAACAATTTAAGAGAACCTGGCGTCCTGAAGCTGAGATTGGTAGGCCTCCAACGCACACCGGCCGTCCACAATACTATGAACTTTGTAGATGACATGAGGTCGGGTCTGGTCTGCGAACTTGGCCACCCAGTCGTTTTGCTGAACTGAGGGCCCCTTTTTGAGGGCAAGGCGCCAGGCCAGCGGGATGGCCTCCCTTAACTGACAAGCATTGACCTCCACTGACTTAGCGTATTTCAATCTATGCTGCAGCTGATCAGTGGTTACCCAGTCAGTGATCAGATCCCACAGGTCCCCAACAGTAAAGACCCCTTTCTTTGCCCAGGTGAGCCACGACAAGTTGGAGGTGAGGGAGAAGGGACTGCCTGTACCGTCGAGAATATACGGGTTACCAAACAACGGCTGCCTCCACACATTGTGCCAGTGGTTAGTCGGGCGCTTCAACTTCGGACCACTTCTCCTCCAAAGCTTAAGCATGTTGGGCCACAGAGGGTCAAGGGGAATATCCTGCCTGGTAGCCTGTGCCGGGGTGCCCGCTCGGGGATGCTGTGGGGGGCCGGGTATTGACCATCTCTCAGACATACGTTGAAAATTGAAATCCAGATGGCCTCAAAAACTTTTGATGAATTAGTGCATGTGCAGTAGCCCAGTTGGTCGGGCAACCCTGTGTTCTACAGGTTCCTGTGTCGCAAGACAGGCTGCGGGTTCGAGTCCTAGCTGGCTCGAATGAGTGTCGTTATCGGAATCGGCCACGTTGGACTCCGGCGCATTTGCATCTCCGGTGCCAGGTACCCCACGGGGGGGACGACCGTAAGGCTGTGTACATGTGTTGTATGGGGGGCCTTGACTCTTGACCGTTGAGCATCCTGCTGGCTGTGCTTACAACATACACAGTTTGTGGGCGGGGAGGGTCGCTGAGGCACTGGGTACCATTGGGAGTCTCCCGCCTTGGAATGCCCCCGCCGCCCTTCCCTGGGTGTGTCGTGGGAGTGTGTGACTATAGCACAGGCCATCACGTTAGGGGCGCTGCCTATACCTCACCCTGCACAGCCTTAAAAAAAAGAAAGAAAAAAAAAAAGAAGAAAGAAAAACACCGTTGAATTAACCTGTGCCTGCTAAGTTCGATTAGCATACCTCAAAGTCGTTGCCCCTTGAGAAAAAAAAGGAAAAACAAGTGTCACTACTGTCTGAGGTAGGACAAGATTTTTCAACGGCACTGAACCTCCTCCACCTCATAAAAGGGCCGCTGCACTGCGCATTATGAACTTGTGATGGTATCTTCAACCTGCCCTGTACCCACCAACCAGTATGTGCCTGGCAACTCGTATGGCTCCGCTGATGGAGTACTGGAGGGATTCAACTGCGCGTATGGCTGAGGATCCTTAGATCACCAGTCCCATTTCATGCAAGGTGAGGACGGGTCCAGGTGTCATGGACGGCCCCAGTGGTCATGAATGGGCCCCGGGGTCATGGACGGACGGGGGGGTGATGGAAAGGCGCAGGCATCATGGACGAGCCCACGGGTCATGGACGGGCCCAGGGGTCATGGGACAGGTCCAGGGGTCATAGACGGACCCAGGGGTCATGGGACAGGCCCAGGGGTCATGGACGGACTCAGGGGGTCATGGGACAGGCCCAGGGGTCATGGGACAGGCCCAGGTGCAATGACTTGCTCGTTTGGTGGCCTGTCGCCCATGGAGTCGAGGCTGTACCATAGGTAGGTCAGATTCGTAATTTTGTTTGGCTGAGGGCTAACCGCGACAGCTGACTGTGAGGAAATTCATGAGGGACATATCTGCAAATTCGGGAAGATTATAGGCCCGCACTAACCGAATTCCCTACAGCTACCCTAACTGCAAATAGCAGGCCCGGGCTACCCCTATGATAGACAGGCCCCAAAGGCCTATGCTGATAGAGCCGCCCCGAGAGTAGACCCGTTGACCTGGATTGAGGACCGGTATTGGTCCATCCCCCGAGCCAATTCACACTCACAAGAGGAAGGAGATCGAGGAGCAGCAAGACAAGATTTTGCCAAGGACCAATTCTGGGCCAACCTTATCAAGAATTGGAGAAGGTTGCCGATCCCGGACAACCCCCCCCCAAAACGGATGGAAGAAGTCCTGCGCCAGCTCATGTTTGGGAACAGAGTCATTACAAATAGACAAACCCGTCTATTTTGCAGCTTGGACCCTTAGTGGGCTGCGTGGGTTGGAAACGGGATTCTCCGAGTTGGGGATATATGGGATGAGGCAACCAAAGATTGGAAAATAGTCCAACAAATAAAACCCTGTCTACGACACGCCCGCAATTTAGCAGACAAGTTGGAACAACTAATATCCTCCATTCCCTTAGCTTGGGTGGTGATCCTGAGAAAAGGACAGTCCTTACAGGAATAGGATGGGGTGGCAGTCGCGACAGACCCCCCTGCAAATAGGGTGTGTGGTAGAGGTGAGAACTTAAGGAGCTATGGTGAATCTATTTGAAAGGAAAAGGGATGACACCTTGGTGAGGTACCGCCCAAACTCAGTCCAGTGGCACTAGAAAGCCAACCTCTATCGGATCCCGGTGTTGCAGATACACAAGGGAGGTAGGACAAAATGGCAGGTCTATCGCCCGGAAGTACCCGTGTCCACTTTAGCCCTGGATTCGCTGGAATGGCAATGGGAGAGAGGTCGGACAAGGCAAAAAGTCAAGCTCACTGGGTTAACGGTAAAGAACACTCACAGAATGGTTAGACCCATGGTAAGGGAGAGATGGAAGAGACACCCAAACCTGGATGATGATCAGATAAAAGGTATAAAGTG